AAAGGTTAGAGGTTTGAGTCCATCAGAGGCACATGGGGAAAGAATGTGGTGATCTACTTCCAAAATAATGACACAGGAAACTCTATGGAGCACAGTTCTACTCTGACACATGGGCTAACCACAAACCAGAATTAACTCAACAATCATTGCTTAATTTTAATTATAATATATAATGTAGTGGTTATGAGTCAGACTGCGATCTTCAAAGGCAGTAGTTCGAAGCTACCAGCTGCTCTGTGGGCGAAAGATGAGGCTTTCTGCTCCCATAAAGATTTACAGCCTCGGAAACCCTGTACAGGGTCGCTATGAGTCGGAAATGATTCCACATGTCACCAAGAAACCAACCATATATATAACACAATGTTTGCCATTTCCACTTTTTTTCCTCCATTATACAATTTAGTACTGTAAATTACATTTATCACCATCAGAAAGCTGTTTTGTTTCATTTTTTAACAGTAAAGATAATATCACCCCCTTGGTTTCCTCTAGAAAAAGTTACCTGTCTGCTCCATGACCATTTTTGCCTTCAAATCTTGAGTTTTCTGCTTCAGTTGCCTTCTCTTTTACTTTCTGCTCTCCATATAATGCCAAATTTCAAGGATCCTTCCCCAACTCTATGTGTAGTAGAATGAGCAATTAGGATCTGAGTTTCTGCAATCAAGGTGGACTTGAGTTTCAATCTTGGCTTCATTACTAAAATGCTTGGAAAATCACATAACCTCTCTGAGCCTTAGTTTCCTCATCCTAAAGTGACAATAATATGAGCCTCTGCCTATCATTGATCTGAGATGTAAACATAATATATGTAAATGCCTTATAGTGTGACTGTCATGAAGTTAAAGGCTGAATAAATAGTCATTTTTGTAAACCTCACAATTTCTCTTTCATATGAACTGCAAACATGACTCTCTGTGATCCCCATTAGGCATTTATTTATGTGCTAATTTTTATGAGCTCTAGTAGCATAGTGGATTACAAACTGAACTGCTAACCACAAAGTAAGCAGTTGGAATCTACCAGCCACTCCACTGGAGAAAGAGGACGCATTCTGCTCCCCTAGAGATTTACAACCTTGGAAACCCTAGAGAGGGTGACTAGGAGTTGGAACTGACTCCATGCCACATAGCCATCACAACGGGTATACATATATTTATTGATATTTGTATAAATTTTATATCAATTTCTAGCACCTTATAGAATGATGTACACATAAAAGTATGCATGCCATAAGTGTACAGTCACTGCATTTTCACGGATATGATACATCCATGCAACAAACACAGCAAGAAAGAGAAGAGCACCAGTACCTCCAGAAGCACTTTACTGTCTGACTCTGTCCCACCAAAGGTAACCATTAACTTGACTTCTATAAACAAGTTTATGTCAGAAAATTATAACTTTATTATTTGTGCTATCTCAGCCAGCCAAATGACAGGAAGCATATACTTTAACTCATTTCTTTTTGCAGAAAAGATTTGTTAAGTGTATACTCTCATTCTAAGATTTTCTTCTTCTTCTATTGTCATTGACTACTCTTACCCAACAAAGCCCCCATCCTACATAAGGGACACAATTTGCTTTCTTGGCATATCCACTAGGGATACTGAGCACTCAGAAAGGAGAGCATGCACCTCCTCATTTTGATGTCACAAAGATTTGTGCTCTTGAACATGCTACTTAGTTGTGCTCAGCCAAGCCCTCTTTTTTGCAAAGTCAGTTCTCTCTTTGATTCTTCACAGGAGCTATTTCAGATTATCTACCTTTAATTCTCCTATATGTCTGCCTGTTTGTTAGACTGTGGTGGCTTGCATGTTGCTGTGATGCTAGAAGCTATGTGACCAGTGCTTCAAATACCCGTAGTATACGGAAGGAATACCCAGAGTCATTGTATCAAAACCAACTGGTCAGTGCGTCAACCTTTTCAAGAGGTAGCATATAATCAAGAACCAAAGGTGTTGAAGGAAGAAGTTCAAACTGCACTGAAGGCATTTATGAAACACAAAACTCCAGAAATTGAAATCTTTCAACAAACAGATGCCTCACTGGAAGCATTCACGAGTATAAGCCAAGAAATTTGGAGATAACTGACCAACTGATTGGAAGAGATTCATATTTGTGTTCCTTCCAAAAAAGATGAGCCTAAGAATAGAGAAATTATTGAACAACACCATGAATATCACATGCAAGTAAAAAGTTACTGAAGATCATTTGAAAATGGTTACAGTATCACTTCTATAAGGAACTACCTGAAATTCAAGCTGAATTCAGAAAAGATGTGAAATGAGAATTATAATTGCTTATATCCGATGGACCTTGGCTGAACGCAGAGACTATAAGAAATGTTTACTTGTGTTTCATCGACTATGTAAAGGAGTTCAACTGTGCGAACAATAACAAACCATGGATAGCATTGGGAAGAATGGAAATTACAGAACCTGTAAACAGACCAAGAGGCAGTCATTTGAACAGAACAAGAGAACACTGCATGGTTTAAAATCAAGAACAATGTTCATGGTTGTATCCTTTTACCATACTTATTCAGTCTGTATGCTGATCAAATAATTAAAGAAGCTAGACTATATTTAAAAGAATATGGCATCAGGATTGGGGAAAAGCTCATTAACAACTTTCAATATACAAATTACACAATTCTGTTGCTGAAAGTGAAGTGGATTTGTAACTCTTGCTGCTGAAGATCAAAGAATACTGCCTTCAGTATGGATTACAATTCAATGTAAAGAAAACAAAAATCCTCAGAACTGAACCAGAAAATAACATAAACAGAGAAAAGATTGAAGTTGTAAAGGATTTGATTTACTTGGATTCACAGTCAATGCTCATGGAAGCAGCAGTCAAGAAATCTACCTGTTGCATTGGGTAAATCTGCTACAAATGACCTTTTGAAAGTGTTAAATAGAAACACTATCACTTTGAGAACTAAGATGTGCTTGACCTGAGTCATGGAATTTTCAGTCTCCTCATATGCATTTGAAAGGTGGACAATGTATAAGGAAGACCAACCCTAGGATCCTATCCTGAGGTTTCATTTCTGCATCTGCTCTCTCAATGACATCCCATCTCCATTTGTTCATCGTATTTCATATCTCATAGCCTCTCCTTTTCTCCAGTTTAGCTGGCTCTTCACCAATGGCATTAAAATGCATTAAAGACACTCATATCGTCAAACATAATAATTATGCCTGTCTGAAAGTCCTCATTCCATCCCAGTCAGCTCATTACTCTCCCCTCTTGAAACTTCACTTATCACTTTATATTTCCTTCTCAGTTTCTTGTCCCCAATTCTGATCATTCTAGCTCTACCTCCATTGAAAGTCCCCTTACCAAGATTTTTAACAACTTTCTTATGATTAAATCCAATGGACACTTTTCAGGAACATATCACTTTGTTGACCATACCTTCTCTCTGAAAATGTATACTTTACTTTGATGCCAAGACCCATTCTCCTGATTTTTCTTCTACTTATCTGGAATTTTCAATCTTCTTTTAGGACTTATCTTTCTATTGTAACTATAGAAGTTCTTTTG